TTACATAATGGGAAGGCTAAAGTTTTCAGCTTGAAAAGAAGGGGGTGACATAGTTCTAACAGACCCAGTAACAAGAAAAGATGCAAGAGTGTTATAGATTATCCCTAGTATTTCAAGGTATTTTTGGGAATGAAATTGAATTGATACATGATGAATGAAATTTCAGTGTAGATAAAAAATCAAATTGAAACAAGCCAGAGCAGCCAGTCCTTCTGCACTAAAGAACCTTCATACAGTTGCAGTTCTTAGGAACAATGGTGCTGCTTTCAACGTGTATTTCAACTTGTATTTTCGACATTGATGCACCTTACAAAATATTCCTGTATTGGTTGGAGCTCATCATAGGCCGATTCCGCCTCACGTCCAGGAAGTAGAAACGATACTCGCCCAAGTGACATCATTCCGGTGAGTATCCTTGGCTGTGTTTTAGTAGAACCTATCGGAAACGTCTGTGACGTCAAAGCAGTCACCGGGAATATGTTTAATAAGGTACGTGGTTCACAAAAAGGAACAACCGGCTGGTTGAAAGCTAATTAATTATGCAGCCAGGAAGTCACATTGCGCCCTGCGCAGACAGATCGTATTTGTAGGATTCTTTCATAAGGGATAGCTATATGTCGTACACGTTACATAAGCAATTCATGTCACGTTGCACTAATGCTGTACATAATGTGCATGGCAGACTTAGCGTGTAACAGACGCGCTGTTTGTTAAATGCATAGCGCGTACGAGGGGGTTAGGCTTTGCGTCAGTGGGGCATGACGAACATTGTTCTCCATGATTATAGTCCGGCAGCCAAAGGCTAAATTTTACCCAAACCCAAAAATCTCTGATACATTTACAGTTTTCTTCTGTGCCTATTTATTGATCATAGAGGTATTGATAAAGTGGTGTGGACCTGTCAGACTTGCGCAATTGTAAATGTTCAATGGCGTCCAAGATGGCAGCTGCAAAGTACCAACACTTAAAAACTCCCATAATTCCAATGCTTTCTGCCATACAACTGGGCTAAGTTATATGTTTTATGGTCCTATGAATTCACTAGAAAAGGATAGAGAGAGATAGAGATATATTATGCGTACCGGTACCGTTGCTGATAATAACACAAACATGTACGATGTGATGAAAACCTGTTTAATGAGTTATTTTTGCATATTAATATTTGACATTTGCACAACCTTTCAAAATGCTTTCAATACAACATGTTAGCTGGGATGGTTACTGCATGCATCAGAATACGCAGTCAGAAACCTTCTACAGGGTAATCATACATCGACAGAATGCATACACATAGTGGAAAGCCAAATGCTTGCATTTCATCCAAGGTAATATTTGGTAACGTTTTTCACTACTGTAATGGTATAAAGAGCAAAGACACTGATGGTCGGTTACGCTCCGATGCATGTTTACCCCACTCATCGATAAACGTAATAAATGCAGTTTTCATACCAATCCTCAATGACAGATTTGCGATAAGGTATCGAATCGCTCTGCCCATTATGCGTGTGTGTATCTGCTTAAATGAGAGAAGGCGCCTGAGAGGCCATGATGTAATGTACTCTGACGGGGATTTCATTTTCATTTCGATCACCACTTTAATAAGCATAATTTGGTATGTGCCACTGCATGTCAAACCTGGTAGTGACAAAACTCAACTTGTTTTCATTTCCAAAATTAGCGATTATTCTCAAAGCTTTAACCCAAAACAAACTCACAGTACGGTAGCAATGCAGAGCGGTAATTGTGCAAAGAATTCAAATAGCATAAATGTAAGGACACGGATGACTGGTCACTTATCAGTACGTTTTATGACCTGTGTCTGATAGGTAAAATAGGTACAGTTTTGAATGGACATATTTTTCTATAACAAGCACAAATTTAAATGTTCAATCAGAAAGAAGACATTGCTAGAAGTACTGCAATCAGCGGGATAGTTTTTTGATGACGCTGATTCGATTAGCTTTGTTTAAAAGATAAGGAACTGGAAACAAGCATGCTCAGAAAGAGTATGGCGGCAACAATGGGGTGATGTTTTAATTCCACACGTTATGGTGCGCCCCAAAACGCAGATCCTCAGTCTGTTTGTGCGTTTAATGCAGGCCACGTCGGTAAGCGTTTGGGGAAACCATTTCACGTCACACTGTCCTTGCTTTGTTGAGCGTTCGTGAAGAATAAAACATTGCAATTAAATTTTCTTGAAAAATAACCATGGGTATCACCGCATTGCGCTGGTTGATTTATGCAAAGATTATGCTGGTACAAGATATTAACATTCAGTTGCATGCTCCTGACTGGCATAAGGTCCGCCCACTCCTGGTATATTATTGGAGCATGCTCTCTGATCACACCATATGATAGTTGCTAGTTGGAGTGTCTAGTGTTCACACTAAGTGCAAACATGGCGATGTTTACGGTAATCTCCTTGTTGGTCGCCTGTAGTGTCTTTGCCACAGGAACTGAAGGTATAATCGAATTGGCATTGTTTTTTGCTTTTTATTAGAACTTTGTCCAATACACCTTAATGCTGAGGCCTTCAAAGCTGCTGTGAAGAAAGCGTGTGCAGGTGTAAGAATTTGTAGGTTGTAGGAGCAACTCCATTCGTATTTTGCTTCCAAACAGCATGACAAACAAATTGTACGTACAATCAATTAATTTTAGCAACGTGGGAGTTTCAATGACTTGTGGCTAGGATTGTGTGCCCTCCTGGAAATTTGCTGTGTATAGTAGTGGTTTTTAGCTTCGTTTCAACCTTGGGCGCCGAAATACATTTTTAAAATTAATAATTGCCTACACAAGAGAGTCTGAGCCTCTGAAATAGCTTCATTCCCATTAGCACGTGCAGTTTTACAGAGGTTATGCGTTTCTCTCTTAGAGGCGGTTCTTGTTTTAATTAGCTATTATTAAGCCTTTCTGGTGATGAAACCAAGAAATTCTCAAAAATGCCCCAGGCACTGCAGCTCGTAAGCCTGATGAAACCTGTAGAGAAGAGACAATGAGAAGTTACAGGAAAACCCCAGGAGAATATTCTGGGTAAGACGTACGAAATCAGGTTGGGATTGAAAACGCAATCCACATATGGACGAAGGGGATAACTGAACCCAAGCCGTAGAGGTGAAAGGCGAGGATAGATGTACCACACCAACCTAACCCCCCCCCCCTTACAAGGGATGCACAAATAGCTAAATTGAGCCTTTCCCAGTCATATAAAGCTCTTGCACTTGGGGGACGCGTTGAACGCATAACGTGTACTGCCAGGAATTTCTCATTAAACCACCCGGAATACCTTTAGCAGTAAACTGACTTATAAATAAGTCGGCATCACTTCTCATCTAAATGGTTCCCTCTTGTATGTTTGAGAACCACCCAAATTTGTCCTTAATTCTCAAATGCCAAGAGCCCCTAAGCCTTCAGATCAGCCACTGCAAAAGCACGAATGGTTTTCTGTAAAACATAGGTTTTTTGGATGAACCTTATTGAATTTATGTTCATTAAAGTTGCGCTTTTCTCGCCTTCCAGTGTGGGACTGCCAGCCCAATCCATGCCTAAATGGAGGCACTTGCTTCACAAGTTACACAGACCATACCATGTATATGTGCGTTTGTTCCAGTGGGGTAAGCGGTGACAACTGTGAAAATAATAGTAAGTATCAAACAAATGTTACAAAGCCTCAGAGGAGTATATGTACATTTTCTGGAATACTTTCTTTTTATTTCGGATTTTTTTTCAATTCCCACTGTACAAGCGTATACACGTTGCCAATCCAACGACAGTAGTGCCTCGACAGTAGTCTCTCTGCAGACTGGTTTCCGGGTTAATACTTTGACCGGGCACCACCAATCGACCTGTAACATGGTGAAGTCACGCTTGTTTATATGCTTGCTCTTTCCTATGGCAGCGAGGTGGGGTGGAAGGCAATCCATTGAGACCCAATCAGAAAGTGCACATGTAAACACAGTATGACGTCATTTTGTTTGAGGTCTGTACGCTAGTGTCTTTAAACCTGAGCAGACGTACTTGGGCAAACCACAACACCTTATTAGCCATAGAGCTAACAATGTCACATTTTACTTATACGCGCGAATTCTTAAGGGAACTCGCCGGAGACAACGGCTGACGTCATAATGGGCACGCAATCCTCTATTAAATAAGCCCATGTACTGGTAGCTCACTGAAGCTGCCGTACTACCAAGGGTTTTGGACCAATGTTGTCCAAATCATTCATGGCGACAATTGTTATTATGGCGCGCCAGCCAACCATCTTCTTGTTGTTCGGCAAAGTAACATGGCCACCAGAAACTTCAGTTGATACAAAGGCACTGAGAGTCCAAATTTCTGTTTTATATCATATTCATGAGAACAACAAATTCAAGGCTTCGTCTCAAGAAGCGTATACGTAAACAAAGTGTGACATTATCGGCACAAACTCTCTGAATCCAAAAATTAAAAATTTACAGGCTCCATAATTAGAGTGAAAATTTATTTCCTCCTACTAAAAGTTGAGGCAAGACGGATTTAAATGAAAGTTCCTTTTTAAATATACTATGGAAGGAAATTTAAATCGAATACCAGACGGGGAAGGATTATTTTTACCCCATTTTCATCTAATTTCAGGGGGATTTTCACTCTTTTATGTCTTAAACTTTTGAATACGGTAATAGGCATATGCGCTGCAAAGTACAATACCCACCACAACCAACACCTTTTATATACAAATTTCACGTTCGCAGGTTTCACAAAAAACACAGCCGAGAAATGAGAAACTGTGGTGGAATAACTTTGATGGAACAATTAGAGGATAACTTATCAACGACATCTTCATGTTAACAGATCAAGAAAGTAAAGTTCCCCTTTTCTGCGCACGCGCTGTTCCTTTGAATTTTTTTTCTCGATTCTACATTCACAGATTCATTTGATATGAAAAGGGATGCCTCCACTACTTCCGTCAAAAAGGTTCCGGAGTGATCAAGTTCCGATCAGGTGATGTGTTTATGCTCGTGACTTGTAATAGAGAGTCACACCGATGGGGAGTATGTTGACATTAAACATTTCCAAACACTGACAAACAGAAACAGAAAAAAAACTCAGTAAAAGAATCCATCCAAGGGGTTTCTGTAACAAATCTTCATACCATTTTCGCCTTTTTTTAGATTTCAGATGCTGTCTCAAAGCCGTAAGTAGTACGTAAGTCACTGAGCGTGCAAGGTTATGATTCATTTGCAGAAAACTTTTCCAACCCGGATCTGATCACTTCGAAATGGCACCGACTACGGACAACAAAGAGGACTTTATGCCCAATCATCATGTTAATATAGCATTATTTTGGAGTATTTTTTTGTTTTGCTTTTTATCCATATTTTTTACTCTCGCTTTTCTGTATTCTTGAATGTGTTTATGTGTTCTTAAACTCATCCAACTACATAGTCGAACTTATTCTTCACATACGTATCAAGTGACACTAGCCAGAGAATAAACTATTCTCGCAAGAAATACCTTGACCAAGCAATTTGCAAGAAATTCAAACCCTACAAATACGAAGTGTGTCCACACTTCATAAAGCCATTTGACAAATGGCTTTATGAAGTGTGGACACGTAAGACTCCATGTATAATTAATTTCTGAAATGAAGATTTACATTTCTTGGCTTTGTTAGCAGAGGAGTCATTCATCTCAACCGTCAAGGAAATACTGGGAGAAATAAAGTGTGATCATGCAGCGTGAATTCATTATCAGCTGTACTTGAGTACTTTTAACACAGAACCTGAAATAGGAAAAAGCAATTTGAAAACAATCCTGGGAAAGAGTAAATAACGACGCTGATTTAACATTTCTGCTGTACCAACATGATGCATCAGATGGAAAGCCTGGACAATCTATATGTTTTTGTACACGTACGTTTGCCTGTACTCTTCATTTTAAAGAAAAGCAAAAATTTTATCATTTCTGTAAATGTTTTGACTCACCCAATAAATTTCAGGAAAGTTTCGACGTGTCTTGGTTTCAAAACCAGCATTCAATGAATTTACTAATTCTTAATCAGTGTTGCATCATCATACACCTGCCATTTCCAATAAAACTGAAAAAGTTTCAAGCCTGTCGACAAGATTTTTCTTTCAAATCTAAACAACAAGAAATGAAACATAAATTGTAATATGTTAGTCTTTGTGATTCTAGAGGTGAGTACGACATTTTCACTCCACTAGTTTGGGATAAAAAGTATGTAAAAATGGAGGATGTCGAATATCATATTGGCGTTTCTGTCATTTAGCTTAAGCTGAACTCTGGTGAACTGTGGTATATTTTAGGTTTTTTTTCTTGGTAGAAATAAAAAGACAGTTTAAAATGCATTTTCTTCTGTCTGACTGACTTTTTTCTTTGATAATTTTAAGCGTTAATTTTACAAGCCATTTTTATTTTACTGGTGAAATCCATTCTTAAGCTCACTTTTCCACTACTGGAAAGATTCTAAGGTGATAAATAAAGATCCAAAAAATATAGTGAAATAAATAAAAAACGATTAATTCAAATGAAGATCACCGCCTGAAGGACACTTTTACCCGATGAGAACAGGCTTGAAGGTTTTTAAAGTAAGATTTTAAATCGTTAAATAATACAAGGAAACATAAAGACAGACACTGACTATACGACGGTCCCACTCAAAAGTTACAATAATTCCAATGTTAAGACAGTACTTCGAATGACGTACCTACGGGCGATTCACACTACAGCTGCACCACCATGAGGTCGTGGAGAGGTCATTTTTTCTGGTTTACTAACGGGCGCTTGCAAGGGCTGACAGCTTTGCACTGTGATTGGCTACATTTTGCTTGACCTGTGACCGCGAGGTTATCAATTCCTGTAAGCGAAGCGCTATTTAAATTTGTTGGTTTGCCAATGGCAATGCTTTGACAAAGGCAAAGTGTTGGCTATATGATAAAAACATGACCTTGGTATAATTAGTGTGGAATTTATTTTCTCGCTAAGAATTATTGATCACGTGACTTTGGACTATATATTTCAAATCACTGGATATCTTGATCAGTTTTGGGTGAACAAATAAAGTGTAGTGAGAATATTTTCAGCAATGGGGGAAAAAAGAAAAAAATATCAAATTAATAACCGCCGCTTGTGTAACACATCGAACGACCTCGCGCGCCTGGCAAACGCTTTCCCACAATGCTCTGCGCGTCGTTTCCTGTGACCAATCATCAATTGATGATTGATCGGGGCACCTGCCTTACCAAAAAAATCACCATTTTATAAAAATAAGACTCCAGTACGCTCATCACTCCCGAATCTTCAGCCCAGGAAGAAGCAGAACAACTGAAATGCTCCACGTAAAGTGAATCTAGCGCAAAGAAATTTTGCCGAGTGTTTTCCCACAATACACTGCAATAAAGACCTCTATATGGCAACCTCTTGGTGGCGCACGACATTGTGAATAGCCTGAATTCAGTTCCGAATAAACAAAGCTCCACAAAGACAACAACACACTAATACTTTACCAATAGCACAAATATTGAGTACAGCACATGTATATGACCATGTAGCCTTTGCCTGCTGCAAACCCGAGAGAAAAAAGTCATCATTACAGTTATTCATTTAATAGTGTTTGAATGCTGAGGCAACAAAGACATCGCAATAATGAAACACAAAACACGTCAGAACACAAACAAATTCATCCAAACAAACTTGAACAATTCCAAACACAGTCATAAACAAAAGGAAACAAACAAACACACAAACAAACAAACAAATCGAGTCCAGTTGAAATTGGACTAGATTTGTTTGTTTGTATGTTTATTATTCACACCTCTCCCGATGGTCTGTGAGCCGTAGACGAGGTTATCCGCATAGAGAAGCTAGAAGCACACCCTCATCGGTTGAAAAGAGCCATTTTGGTGGGAGGTGTTCGTTTGATTCGTAGCGATGCGACCGTAACTCATGCATTTCATAGTTGCTTTTGAACCAGCAAAGTGCAGTTCCCACAAAGGAGCCTGCGTTGCTGGGGAAATTGCGCCCTCTCTTGGTCCATCTCAGGGCTCATAACAGCACTCACGGTCGCTCCACGGATTGCCATGGGCAGATTCACCTACGCGCACAAGCGTCATTGGCGGCATCGTTTGGTTCGCACCAGGAGCCCAGTTGTTACACAACTGACGTCAATAACAAACCGCTGCACTGGATTCTGACATGGATTTGGAAACCCAGTTCTATAGGAGACGAGGAAATTACAGAAAAATTAGCAAACAAACAGAGCTACAACTACACCGTGTTTATGTAAGATTTTTGGATTCGCATAGCATATATATTGGACCCATGGTGTGAGACTTTGGTTTATACTTAAAATTACTTTTTTTACAAAAAAAAAATCCTTACTCGAGGCGCGAATCTCCTTCAGTGAGGCATCTTTGGACGCCTTTTGCCATCCTTCAATACGTCTCCAGTTTTTCCCTTTTGTTCTTCCTTTGCCAAGGCGCTGCTAGCACCTGAAATGGAGGTGATTGTTTATCCCAAACTTTATTACAATTTACTTCATAATCAAAAAGATACACAAACCACATGGATATTTGGGGAGATTTTATTCTATTGAGAGGCAAAGAACTTGATGGAAATTTATTTGTAAAAGTATTTGTTTTATGTTTTGTGGGTACGAGGAGGAACGTAATCCATTCAAGCAAACGTTACCGACGTTCGAGTTTCCCATCGATGTGCACATTATACACTATCTTATGATACTCTTGAAAAAAATACGCTGGGCGTGGCGCGGTGAGTATTGTAGGACGCTTTCCTACACACTGCCATAAATGCTATAATTCCAGAAACCGACGTCAGTTTGTGTGATTTCACTAAGGCACCATTTCAAAATTCGCATCGGGTAGGTGTCGGACAGAACGGTCCGACCGATACATTTATTATCGGTTGGCTATCGGGTAAGTTTTCTCAAGTGGCCAATTCTAACTGATAAATGTTTTTTTTATTGCCTTACTTCCAAGGCCATGCGGTTTCAGTGGAGCAACATCCCCTCCATTATTCACTCAACACAAGTCACTGTTATCGGTCGGATGGCCCTGTTCTATAGTCAACCAATAGGGATTTCGAAATGATGCCTAAATGAAGAAAAATCCAGCAAGTTTACTTAATATAAACCCTCTATTATTGCTACTTATGGTAGACTTGTTGGAACCACAAATGTACATGCGGTTGCATCGCACTCACAAGCTGTTAAAACTTTTAACTTCTCGAATAACGGCACTGATGTCTGCGTGGCCAAACTACAGTCTGCTTCTAAAAACTCCTAGATTGCAGGAGTATAAGATTATCAGGATTAAAAATGTCAGTATGTAATTCAGAAAGGGAGACTGCAAGTTGAAGAAAGGCACACACGACACCAAAAATATACCATCTTTGCAATGAAGTGATAGAATTAATGATTGAGTAATTACCGGTGATGAGGACCGTCAGAAGCAGAACCACAAGGCTACCGATCCTGCCAATGGCGATGAATGAGGAACTGGATGATCGCCCGTTTGTGGAGTTTCAACCATGCAAACAGGTGGCTTTTTTGTCAGCATCGCATGCAGAACAGGCGCACTGTTCCAATATTTGTGGAATAATAAAAACGTTGCCTTATTGTCTCAAGGCAAAGTTGTCGGTTGCCACTGCACTGTGTTCCCGTTGTTAACGTAACACTTTGCCACAGTCGTGTGGGGATCACTGTTACGGAAAGATCCCACAGACACAAAATTGAGCCTAACGAATTTCTTTTCTGTGCTCGCACAAACGGTTGAACCACCAATCTATACATATTTTTACGAGGACATCCCAAAAATGCAAGTGAAAAAAGAGCCCCTATCGCTACCAGCGCAAAATATTTGGGCACAAATACGACTTGCGTGCGTAAGTGTAGTCTTTTGAACACTAAGCATGCGCACTGCGCACCATTCCCACTTACAAAATGCAATCGCTGAAATCGTGCCGCGTCATCAAATTTTTGTAACTACGTGCATGTTTGTTTAAAAAAAGAGTTGTGCAGCAACCCGTCCAAATTCTGTTTTGATCCGTCAAAAAATAACGAACGCTGGTTAATAATTTGCTGGCTTTTTTGTTCAAATGATTTTGGGTAGACTGATATCTAAACTTTCACTTTTTTTAAAGGAAGAAAAAATTCATTTTTAATATGATTAAAGTAATACACAATACACTTCGGTGTCACAATTCCTTTTCTTTTGAATTTTCATAATCTTTTCTTCAGGCATTATATAATAAGGCGCATGATGTTTACACATGCCTTTTGTTAATGAACTCCCTTTCAACAAAATTTCAGATATTTAAACCTAAATCATTAACCAATTTGAAAAGCCTGCAATGAGATATATAACTCCTCCCTTTTTGCTGAACCCATCTCCTAAAAATTCGTTCTAGGTCTTTACTCGCCCTAGCCTTTACTCAAAGCGCACGTGGCTACCCCGACACACCACGCACACCTTGACTGCAAGCACGACATTCACTACTTGTGCGCGTATTTGTAGAGTTTGTGTCGCATGCGCTATTTGTGTGGAGAGAGGGATCTAACTTCTACCTTAATTTACGTGCTGTGACACAGAGGGCACACCGTAGAAAGTTACTTTTCAACACATTGCATGCAATACAGTGGAATGCCAAGGTTGTGGTGTTTTACAAGAAATAGCGACTGTGTGACAAGCTGTTTCAATATCTCTTGGTTGTGGGCATTGCATGCCCAGGAGTTACACGGGTCTGATATATTCCAAAGTAACCCATCTATTTTAGGGTTTTGCGAATCTTCGTATTGGAAAACTTCAAGAATTAATTGAGAGATAGGGGAATTCCGTGCAGGCTTTTGTAGGGTAAGAGGCTTTGACGTTATGAGGTTTCTAGAGTTGCCAGTACGCTACACATAAGAATCTTCTGAATCAAGAGAAGTAAAGTTTAATACGGTCTGTAGTCTTCATGTGCCAATTCATTGTTGCTTACACTAAGAAGTGAAAGTTTACACTTTTACCCTACCAACAGGCATCGGACAGCATATTTGCGGTGTGAAAATATTAGTATAGGAGTAAATATTAATTTCTTCATTTACCTTTCAATGAAGTGAAACTGTGTTTTTGATGGGTCGCTTGGCCGCTCTCGGTTGACTTTCAATTCAATCTTCTGACAATGCATTTTTTGTCCACACTTTTTGTGTCACCGCCCTCCCCACCACAGATAAATTCAACATCGGGTGAGAATGGCAAAAGCCAAATTTCAAGCTGAAATAGCTAGTTTAATCACTTTGAAATGGCGTTTGCCAAATGACAGACACGAGTAGGCACCTCTCTCAACAAGAGAAAAAAAATTAAGTAAAATTGATATTAAAAAGAATGGTGGGATGTATACCTCGGAACAAATTTAATACCAAAGGACGCATTTTCTCTCCCCCAACCTTTACTCCATTAAGGTACCCTTTAACAGCAAGCATAGCTTTTTAAAAGTGTGGCAGCTAATTTTGGATAAATGCAAATAACGGACTCGCGTTACTTTTATAGCCTGACAATATAGGTTCCATTTTAATGCACGTATTTGAAAAAAAAAAGTTTCTGTTTGGTATGGCACACTATGTACTGGTCCGGGCAGGTTCGGGACCAGTACCGAATTTCAGGAGGACGTTCAGCAAAAAACACAGGGGGTAATATTTCTTGATGTAGTCTCTTGCATAGAAATGTGTGTCTTTTAATGTAAACAAATATGGCATTTTGTTGAGAAGGGTTAGTTAACAAAATCATAGAGGTGTTACACTAAAAGGCAAAAGGATTCATTAAATCGAACTGCATTGTATATAATTTTACTCGTATTTAACACTGTATTTTCTTCAAAGTTAAAACTGAAATTTCAGGTAACCAAACCTCCCAAAAAAATTATATTTAGGCGAAATCAGTCTGAGAATTAATAACCATAGTTTATTTACTTTTCGCCTGACCCAAACAGAGTTTTGATGGGTCGCTAAGCAGCTGTGTTTTTCTAACAAACGTGTACGCACGTAGTCAAAAAAAACTTTGAGTTGCAACTTTCTATTCTAATACTTGCTGATTCGTCCTTTTTTACATATTTTCCTGCACGTGCAGCTTTCAAATAAGATTACCGACGACACGGCAAAGTTTGTGCTTTGATTAAAATACAATGGCATTATTGCATGTGTAAATGACTCCATGCACGTGTTACAGACTGTACATGAACGCTGACACGGTTGGCGTACTTGACCCAAATACGATGCACAGGTGGTGCGAGGGGCATCCTGTGCCTGTTACCTTTTCTCTTGAATTTTTGGGACAGCCTCGTAGAAATATGTACGGATTACCAGTTTAACAGTCTAACAGTCTAAGGACAGAAAAGAAATTACAGAAGATATAATGGGGCTCATTATGTTGGAGCTGTTCTAATAACGCTTCCTAGAATATTTCCTTTCTTGTTCTAGACACAAAGGAAATGACACTGTATGCAAAAAGTATACTGAGTATAGAAAAATCATTACTTTGCGTCTGATCAGACTATCCTCTGCAGTTGGTAAACGAAGCTTCTACAACAACAAGAACGCTGAAGTAAGTATGACGGTAATATATTATCGTAAAGGTGATACGTGCAAAAAGTTACTCTTCGGGCTTTATGTTGAGCGCACGCTCTGAAGTAAACAAACAAAATTAACATTAAAACTTGGATAGGGAAATTAATCCTTTGTTTAACTGATTGTTTCATATGAAAAGCAAACTGAGTTTTAAAAAAGGACAAAAGAAAGATTTTAAGGAAGATAAAAGCAAACACACACGCTCTCGCTTTAATCTCTTTTTCTTTATCCCCTTTTCCACGCCGGCCACTTAACAGACCTTTTGCTTTCCATTTTCACAACAACATGGCTGTTGCTCAAATGTTTTTGGTAAACAAACAGATGTTAAAGTGTATTATTGCCAGCACGCTTTGTGAAGTAGCATTCTGCTTTAAGAGCATCATACATTAATGACAATGTGTATAGGCGCATCGGGTGGGCCTGATTTGAAAACGAATAGGCTTACCTATCTTTTCAAGAAGCAAAACAAATCGCAGTTTAGAAAGTACCGCCTGGGCGGGTAAAGGGACAGTAGGTCTCCTAAAACAGTCAAACTCGCGACTGCCTCATTACACAGCAACAAAACGTTAGGGCATGCTCGATTGGCATAGAAGTAATTTGCTTCTATTAGACTAACTCTGAAGGCAAATTTAGAATCCGCTTTTCCGAAGTTTACTCAGTCACAACAAACTATGTCAGCCGGCGAAGGGGAAAGTTTTCGCTACCCAACAAATATTGGAACAGCGTGCCTGTTTGGCACGCGATGCTCACAAAAAAGACACCTGTTCGTAGGGTTGAAACTCTATAAAACAGGTACGCTTCTGCTTGCAATCAAACAGTTCCTCATTAGTCACCATGGGGAAGATCAGTGGCCTTGTGGTTCTGCTTCTAGCGGTCTTCATCACCGGTAAGTACCCGATCATTCTGTCACTTTATCACAAAGACGGTATCTGTTGGGTGTCGTGTGTTCCTTTCTTCAACTTGCAGCCTTTTTTCTTCCCGACGGACTTGAACATTTTAGGTGTTACCTTAACAGTAAGCAATCTTTTCGAGTTTCTTCTTCTGGATCCCTTACTAAGCATTTTCTCGTGAAATTTGAATAAAATCCGCTACACTGAGTTAACAAACTGCACATAAGCATAATAAGTTGAATTACCCAGACCAAAGATACTGTTGCTGTAGCTTCGGGGTAAGCTTTTGCAAAGTGACCACCGTCTCTGGAGTGGACTGGTTCCATTGTGTCCTCCATTGAAAAGTGTATTTGTGCAATTATGTACAAAGCAAAAGCTTACCCCGAATCACTTGGTATACAACAACAGTGTCTTTAATATGGAGAATTGAAATTGTTTTTTCACTTGATTTTAAAGAACTTAGTGTACCAGATTTTATTCAAATTTCAAATATGCTCCATTTAACAACAGGGGACTTTTGTTATATGGAACACAGTAGATTTAATTTAATTGCACTGTACCCCTTCGACAGGAAAAATTAGTTGTACAGTCGGACAAAAGATAATTACAAAATCGACGAGGTGCTATACGATTCTTAGGAGACACAAAAGGTCAGTTGAGTGGCTGCCAGCATCATATGACAAGTTTGGGTAAATTTTATCAAATTGATTTCCATCAATGGTCAAGGATTATCCTTGATATTTGGTATGCTTGGAGGAAATTGTTGCTTTTCACCCAAGATTTTCCATTGAAACTTGAAATTACATCATTAATAAACATAAGTACGGGCCACCAATGTACGGCAGTTAAATTGGCGAAGTTATTTTCACATGATTAAGCATGGCTGACATTAGATCGACGTTAATTGAAAAGATGGAATGGGGAAACGCCAACGTAAATAACGTTTGCTTGAATGGAGCGTGCTACTCCACGTGGCATAAATACTATCACAAATACTTGTCATCAATTTATTTGCCTTTCCATAGACTTATAGTTTGTTTGGATTTTATAACACAGCTCATTGTGAAATCCCCCCCCCCTTCAGGTGCTAGCAACGCCTTGGCAAAGGAAGGACCAAAGGGAAAGTCTGGAGAACTAAAAGATGGCAAAAGGGCGCCCAAAGATGCCCCACTGAAGGAAAATCGCGCCCCCAGTAAGGGAAAGTATTAATCAAAGTGTCACCTAGGGTTTCATTTGTATATTTATACCCCCTAAATCTGACATCAAAACGATGTATTTGTAGCTTTACTTGTTTTCCCCCTTCTCCAGGGTAATCAGTACATTTTGTTTGTTCGGTAGTTTAAAAAATTACCCCAAATACGTGCTTGTTCCACTAATTCATTATTCACATACCACGTTACAAATGCGGCATTGTGCAAGGAGAGTGCTATCAGATGAATCATTGAGGATCGACAGAGAAAACAATTGCACGGGCTGCACTGCCAAGCAAAGTCCATTCTTCTGTTTGGATTCGTGATGGTCCATCTGTGTTCTTTTCTTTTTTCGAGAATAGCTCTCGGTATAAACTTGAAACCTATATAACTCCACAAGATCTGTAAATGAACACGAAAGTGTGACGTAACGATGACGTCATTATGTGTCCATCTACAAGCAATTGTAGCTTTAAAAAATTACAACAGATCTTAAGATGACCATACATTTTTAGTGCTGAAGTGGTCTGATCTTTGCTTCCTGAAAAGTCATAGTTAGGGTACAAATAAATGCTTATGACGAGTCACATCGAGACCTCGGTAATATCTTCCGTAGCAAATGGTGACATTGTGGAGGAAATGAACGTTTTATTTCAGGGTGTTATCCATGTTTAACTTCATTTCTTGCGGTGGAATAGATGGATACCCTCATGCAAAAACATCCGTAAGACAGGCTGCCAATCGTATACATGCTGGAAACCGAAAGGTGCACCACAAACCCATATAGGCACTTTAACAAACCACCAACTTGACTAACATTTTGCCTGAACTCAGTCGTGTGCGTCGCGTTAGAGCCGTGTTACTGGTATTTAAACCCGATATATCATATCTTGGGTAAATTAGTGATTGCAAATGATGTGTTCTCGACCTCCTGAGGCAACCGGAAGTGCAATGATTTGGGATGAGAACTTTAAAAAGTAAGGACTATCCTACACCAACATTAAATTCCTAAACTGCCAAGGGCTCAATTCAAAGCACTACACTTCTGACGTCATAAGACGAAAGGGCGCCTTCTACTAGCACACCAAGAGGTCACTTGTTTGATTTGTATGACTTGTCATTTGTATGACTGCGTGCCATAGTTCCATGAAAATGGACAAAAGTCACGTTAGACATGCAAATTATTTTAGGTTAATGACGCTATCGTCCTAGGTGTTATCTAAGGCACAATTTTCAAAATATCTGCATCTCCCTTTTAAGATACATATACTTCACAGATACCCCTTCATTCTCGGGGTCTCCGTACAGGAGAATACACGAGAAAGTGCGGATTCGTGATTTTAGAGTTATATCATGTGACCCTTTGAGATGGAAAATTTCCATTGGTCAAGCTCTTCAACGACGTTCATATTTTATTAATTCCCAAGCCTTTCCAACCCTATAAGTAGAGCAGATTTTGCCAAGCTCGATCGCCGGTCAACCTAACGGTTGTTTGCAGCAAAACCTGACGTCGTGAGGTGGTTGGACCCAATCTGAGAGTGGTGCAGTGGATAAAAAAAACAAAAAACAGTTCTTATGGTGAAATCCGTGGGTAGCCATATGAACGCCCAGCTAGCAGCGTAGCTTGGACCGAGTGTGATGCAAACTAGCCCAGGTTGCTAGTAGGGAGATTTGCCGCATCGTCGACCGCTACGATGAACAAGCTGGTGGCCGAGTGAAACGTTCCCATGACCCTCACCACTCCTCCCACGGCTAACTAGCTCCGGTCCTCCCCATCTGTACACTGAACCAATGACGCAGGGCGGCGATTCCATCATTACGCTCACCACATTCTAGTCTCAACGGCAGTGCTGATTTACTTACCCCTGGCCCCGTCCAGCTATTGCTCGTCATAGAGGTGGCCCGTGGCAGCTGCCACCACTGCCGGCCCGATTGATCATTTGGGCTACCCATTATGCTGGATAAATTCCCTTCAAAAACACTTATTAAATAACTTACATGAAGCTATGGAAGAGAAGTGAAAGAAACAAATAAGCTGTACAGTTTGACCGTTACCCAAAAACCCATGTATACCGCTCATAAAGATCCTAAAATATAAATACTTTTTATAGTATTTCCTAAGGCACACATCAAAATACTATTTTGCAACAGCTCAGGAAGGTCAGTTGTTTTACAATGTTTAAATATTAAATGTGTGGGGGGTAGGCTCTGTACAACCTTGTGGGTTTTACCACCGTATTTTGATCAAATTTACAGGATACTACACCGAACAGCCATCTTACGATTGCAGTTCATACGAATGGCAATGCTATTACAACGGTCAGTGCA